CAAGGACCATCATACTCAAACAGAACATCACCTATTTATAAGCATATTTTCTCCTTTTTTTTTTTTTTTGAAATTTTAGGATTGTTACAATAGAGTTGGCCTTCAACATCCTCGGCTGATGTTTTCTACTTATTTTATTAGTTTATTATTTTATATTATTTGAATATAGTTTCGTGTGAATTTTTATATTATTTTTATTTTTAGTTCTTTTTTAGTATTAATTTTTTATTGTTCTCGCTATTTATATTTTGTAATTATATTACTTTGTGCAGGTACTTTTGCCCGTCTATGAAGCTCAACAATCATATTCATCTCACGAGATAAGTTGTATGTTCATTCAAAGATTTAATGTGAAATGGTACTAAAGAAAAACCTTGCCATCTGATGAGATAAGTTGTTGTATTTTTCATTCAAATATTTAATGTGAACTTGTACTAGAAAAACCATGCCTGAAGGTATGTAGTTTTTTTATTTGAATTTCACAATCACTTAATCTCTATTTTTTTTCCGTTCACTATCTAGAATTTTTTCTTTAGAATTTTTTCTTTAGAGTGTATGATATGGCAACTCATAATTGCTAATAAATTTCATGTTCCAAAAATTTTATTTTTTTATTTTTTAAATGAAAATTTGGTATTTTTAATTTGATGCGTAATGTTGTTATCACATGTAATTTTGAAGAAACTGTAAAAATACTAATTTTTCATCAAGAACAAGTGATTTGGTAACTCTTTTTTTTTACGTTATTTTTCATTCAATTATGAATTTCAAATTTTTCATGAAAATTTTATTAGTGAGTTTCACATTTTTCAGTTATTTATTTTTGGCTATTTTATGAAAACTAACAAATACTTAAACATACCAAACCAATTTCTAATATTTAAATTTTCAAATTGTGAATTTAAATTGTTTAGCCTTAGAAATAATTTTCACTTCTTCATTTTTATTGCCAATTAAATAAAGACTAAAAAAATTATGTTATGTATGATACAAATATAGGGAAAAGAAAATTTTGAACACTAATTTTATTCTTTCTTTTTATTTTGTGAAATTTTTAAATTTTAAATACTTACTTTTAGGCTTAAAAAATATTTTATGGCTAAGTTTATTTATTTATATTTTCTATTTCCATTCTACTGTTATTGTTCAATATTTTTATTTTTCGTGTGAAAACATGTTTAAAATAAAAAATTAGTTATAAAAATTTTCATATTTTTAATTTATAAATTTTAAATGATTTCAATTTTCCATGGCACATTAACATATTTCTTAAGTATTTTTACAATATAAAATAGTATAATTTTAGAGAAATTTCTTTTTTCCCATAATAGTAGTTTTTCAACTTTTTTTATTGTACAATTCCAATTTGTAACGTTTTCATACAACCCATATAAAACAAATTTTTCTTTTTGATAAACAATACAAAAAATCAGCATCATATTAAAACACTTTCTTAACACAAAAATAAAAGGTTTTCTATCGTTCGTAACAAATAATAATTAGGAAAAAGTTCTTTTTTTGTGTTTGTAATAACTAACATCAACGGTTGCCTAATAGATCTCTAACATTAAACCACTGCCTAATAGATCTCTTTGGTCATGCAATATTTGGTGACTCTTCAACCAATCAATTTTACGTGCAACACACATAATTCAACTGGTATTATATAAAATGGAAGCCCGACAAATTTGTTTAGGCTTTTTGAGACACTCCAAGGGTTTATCACCACAACCTATAAATCTACCATTAAGCCAAAACGCGAGGGACATTAGGCCTGCCATCTAGACCACCACAATCATGAATATGAAAAAGGTACGGTTTGTATAGAATTGAGGCTGTAAACAATCAAAGTAAAGCCCACCTTCAAATAGTATCGAGAAATATGATTTCAATACTGAAAATCTTTGTGATAGCCTTAAAATATATTTTTATCTTTAATTATAAAATTTAAAGCTTCAAAAATAGTGTAGATCGAGCAAATCTATGAAAACTTGAAAATCTTTAAAACAATTGACGGCCCAAAAATATGTTACAAGATGGTCAATTTGAGGATATTTGAGCATCAAAACAACCCCTTCTAGTGAAATTTTTGAGGTGGGCTCTAATTTGATTGTTTAGAGCCTCGACTCTATATAAACTTTTTCCATATGAAAAAGGAAAAACAATATATAACCCTTTAAAGGTCTTTTGTAGTTTCTTTTAATCATTCTTTTTAATTCTCAAATAATCATCCGTGAGAAACTGTATTTCTGTATATTTGGGCCTTAAGCTCCTATGAATGATGTATGTCAGAGCTTTATTATCAATAGAAGCTTTGATACAATCAACACTTCTTCCCATAGAACATAACCATTTCAATTCATGCAGAGAACAATGCATGAAGAAATTTCCTGTGTCCATCACCAAAAAACATCCTCGCAACAAACAATCCGCTAGCTCATACAGCCCTCAAAATGGTTTAAGGATCAAATGAATGTAAATAAATTCAAGTAAATTCCAAGTAATTCTCCCCTTAGAGAGAGTTCGAGAGGATCCATACATAGAATTTACTTGAATTTATTTACATTCATGTGATCCTTAAACTATTTTGAGGGCTGGATGAGATTGTTCATTGCGAGGTTGTTTGTTGGTGATGGATACAGGAAATTTCTTCATGTATTGTTCTCTGGATGAATTAAAATGGCTTTGTTCCATGGGAAGAAGTATTGATTGTATCAAAGCTTCTATTGATCATTAAGCCCTGAAATACATCTTTAATGGGGCATGAAGCCCAAATATACAGAAATATAGTTTCTCACATCATCATCAGGCACAATGTTTTTACAGCTCTATGTGAAAATGAGTTTATGTTGATTGACTTGAGAAGCATTGGAGGTCCTAAATCCCTCGAAAATCAATGCAGATCCATGAATCATGAATCGCTTACTCACCTAACACTAATTTACAAAATATAGTTTCGGAGTGAACTACTAGGGTTGGAGCATGGTAGTTATTGGGCTGATGCCTCACTAACATTCTCACTGTTAACATGTCAAAAAAATAACAAAAACATAAACAAAACAAAAAAAAGGATCCTAGAAATTTATAGAAGTTATAGGATTGCGCCCACATGTAATCTCCACAGAACTAGATGTGGATCAAAGCGATGGCAGTTGCATTTCGTAAGCAAATTTTGAGAACTCTAAAAAAAAGAATAGGGTCTTTGATACCGAATGTAGACCACATTCATTTCAATTTTGGCAGGTGAGACATTCCGTTTTTAGCATAGAAACAAGGAGGAAAAAGAGAAAAAGTTGCCTGTATATCCTATTAAAATTGTAATTATAAATATCCCCCTTAATTTTTTTTCTCTAAAAACAAAAGGGGGCTGAAGATCGAATATCACTTTTGTTTGTTTTTGCATCTTACATGCATATCCTGTTGTTTGTCTTTTTATATATTCGAATTTTAGGGGGCTGAAGATCGAATATCACTTTTGTTTGTTTTTGCATCTTACATGCATATCCTGTTGTTTGTCTTTTTATATATTCGAATTTTAACCCTAAAGATTGAATATCTGAAGTCACAAATGACTTTGGATTTTGATCATCCATAGTCATATTTACTTTTCTAAACTCGTTTTTAGGGAATAAAAATGAAATCCCTAGGGATATTGAAAATCCGAAGTTGCATTGTAATTGAGATATCCATTGCATCCTCGAATATTCACACAATCTAAAGTTAAGAATGACTTCATATTTTCAATTTCCAATGTGAAAAATCACTTAAATAAATTAGAGTAACTTCGGATTTTCAATCTCTAGGTGAGGTAATGAAACATAAGAGGAAAAAATAACAGAGGGTATATATGCAACATACGAAACTTTGGGAGATCTTTCGTAATTACAGTTTTTAAGTGAGGTCATCCCTCGAAAGCTTCGAGGTTAAATTTCCTCTTGCTAGCTATTCTATAACCTGGCAAGAGGAAAATTAAATTTACAAGAGGAAAATTAAATTTTTTATTGCCTGACTAGTGAAAATTGCTACTGTGCTTCCTTTAACAACCCAACTCTTTGGAAAAAAAAAAAAAAGAATTGAGCAGAGCATTTCTTAGAACCAAGATTAAAGCACTCAAAACCAAAGGGTCCTAAAGGACCCAAATATCACCAGAAGAACCAGACGCATCTACTCCCAAAAAATCTATACAGCTATTTCCTCAAACCAGTCTGGTAGTACGAAGAGTCAGGGTCTCCAATTTAGTTGCTTGGAAAAGCAAGAGATCAAGCATTTCCTTTCTGCAAAAAGAAAGAACATTTCTCTTGTGTTAAGCATTATTGAGGCCCCTAACCTTCCAACATAACACTTTCATATACATTGATAAACATCTATGTGTTTGGTGACCCTTGAAGGATCAGCAAACATAGGCATCAAAGGTTCAAAATATGCACGAGGACAAGCACTTACCTCACCGCGATCATAGTTAATATGGCATACCAAATTGTCAAGCTCTCATTAAAACCTTCCTTTCTTCTTGGATTTCTGAATTTTGCTCCCAACAAGTCTTTCCTCTAGTTCCTTTTTATACTCCTCCTTTATGGTATCTGTAATGGCGTCAAGAGAGTCACCATAACGCACATTAATTGCATCCAAAACTATACCAACTTCCAAATGTCGGAACACTAAGGACCTACCATCATCGACATTATCATAGTCATCATATCCCTCAAATTATCTACTATAGGAACTTCATCATCACTCAGTGGTCTCATAGCAATCGAAGGAACTATAAGAGGTTCTTCTAGCTCGTGTTCTTTGAGGCTTCGACTACTGTCATCAAGAACAGCACTTTCAAGATTTTTCCAAAGTTTATCACTATAGGTAGAAAGGGCAGATCTTCCTTCCCTATCTTCTTCCTCACTCTCAACATTATAAACCAGCACTGGTTTTTCAACAAACTTTCCCTTCTTTTGTGTTTTTAACTGCTTGGAAGCAACCCTCCCAAATAGACTCATCTGCTGCATCTTTTCTTCTTCATATTTCTTCTCTACTCACATCAGAGAAAGAGTCAGCTTGAAACTCAACAATGGTGTTCTTTTGGATTACCTTTGGGATGAGTGCTTCTTTTGAAAGCTATAGAATTTCCTTATCTTTTATGGAAGTTTGTGAGAAGGAATTAATTGGCCACTCGTTCAAACTTCCAAAGGGAAACTTTCCAAAAGTTTCAAACCAGTTATGGCAGAGAATAACATTGCGTTCCAAAAGATATGAATTTTGGCTAGCATAAATTTTTGGAATGTTTCCATCAAATTTAACAACTCATTTTTTAATGATACGTTTCCCTTTTGAGAGATGGTGTGGCAGAGTAAGAATGGCCTGAATTTGCCCTCCCACGAAATTTTTGACAATGATATCTGTTGTCGATTTTTTAAACTCCATTGTTGCAGCTTGAGACCGACGATAATGGCTTCTGGGAACCATCATCCCTATTAACATGTTGCTCACCATTCAGGCTATGTTTTACATCTTCAAAAGAGACTTCAACGAAACCTCCCTTCTAAATTCGAATCTCTTTAAATACAAGTTTAAATCAAAACTTCCCATCTTTAGGATACCCTCTTTAGGGTGATTTATACTTTTAGTTTCTACCAGGAAAACAAGGGCATGATAGCTGGTTAAATTCCAATCAACCTTGATCAGCTAACCACATAGGTTTGCTACCTCTTTAAATACGTCAGATGCCCAAACAATGATTGGAATACCAGAAACTGCAAACCGATATCATAGACTTCAACTGACCACATAGATTTGATCAAGGAGGCTTCTAAGGCGGGGACCCATCTTTTTACAACCAAATCAGCCCCCCGAAAGCGCCATCTCTAATCGATTACTTTAATAGCTTCCTCACAAGAACCCAAAAAGCAAATAAATTTACCTCCTGGGATCGAGCGACACAAGCTCGGGGTCTTAGTCCAAGTCTTATCAACCAAGTCCTGGAACATCTGTACTTCCAAAAATCTCTCCTTGAAAGTCATGATCACTGCTGATTGAATTCTCTTTTCTCGTTCTTTAATGATGTCATCTCGAACCAAAATAGTGGGGTTCCTATGGAGATGAGAACTCGAAGGAGAACGTACATAAGACACTGCTTTTCTCCATCTTCTTCTCAGAATGCACTCTCTACTCTTCATCATTCTACAACACAATTGCCACTATCACCACACCACCACTTCCTAGCCACTACTACTGTATCACCTGCTTGTCCTCTCTGAAAAACTCAAGCCACAAACTTTTCCTAACAATTTCCAGTTCCACACTTCGTCCTTATATTAAAACTTAAGAAGTTTAAGCACCCAAAAATTGCAGCATAACCCATCAATCAAATGCAACAAAGATTCATCTTAAAAAAGACATAACAGAGCACTGAATTCAGTGAAAAAACTCACAAAGCATACCAAAACCCATAGTGATCCAGCCAAATCTAGCAAGCAGCCATTATAAGACCATAAATATTCCAAAACCAAGAGAGAAACCCACAAAATTCTTCAAAAAAATACATATCCACCATGAAACAAGTAAATTCAAAGATCAAATTCATTAAACAACTGGAACTAAGCCAGAGCACCAAACTAACCAATCCAGATTCAGACAAAAATTGAATCAAGCTAGGGCTTTAGAGCTAATAAAAATGAAGTTTCAAAGAGCAAAAACACACTACCCTGTAAGAGGAGGCAAGAAGCTCGACCTAAAATCAACACCCCTTCTTCTTTGTATTTCTCACTGCTCTGTCTCTCTCATTCCAAGTCTTCCTAATGGCATCCCCGCTTCTCTGATGCCTTTGAAGTCCCCTTCACGTCTCTCTACCCTTCAATGCCCAAAACTAACCCATTCATCAAAACCCCCTATAAGAGCTTCCCCTTTCTATCTGCGTAATTTTTTAGTCTCGCTGCCATATGCCACATACCATAATCATCTATTAAATATTTTCTCTCTCTAGATTTCTACAGGGGAACTCTCTATGTGAAAACCTTCTTCCTCTTGCACGCCAAAGCAAATCTCTACAGTATCAAACTCTTGCACAAGTAAATATCTACAATAGCAAACCCTTGCACGCTTAACCTTGCGCAAGCAACAAACCCTGGCACAAGTGTGAAACCCTAGGGGCCCTCCCTAGCATCAAACCCTTGCACAAACCCTTGTAGAAAGCTTCACCCCCATCTCTACAATGTCTCTCTCTCTACATTTCACCATCTCTCTTTACCTTACAGTGCCATGTATCATACGCCACAACGCCCTCCAAAAGGAGTCACAGCAAGACCCAATAATGCCTCGCGTTGCAGCTTCCTGCTCACTGAAAGGGAATCATATTTCCCTGGCTTTCTCAGGGCATATTTCTATAAACAAGTCCTCAACACCCTGCTTCATATTGCCTAGTTAAACCAAAATACCTTGGCTTGCTTTGGTTTTCTAGTTTGTCAAGGCTATTGGGATGGAGCTAGGGCTTGAATAGGGGCTCTCTCTCTCTCTCTCTCTCTCTCTCTCTC